CGAATTTATGTATAATTTATGTATATGTATATACTGTATATTCATTTATGCATATGTTAATTAGTTTACATATTCTGCAGACTGGAACCCAAACACAGAAAGGTGAAATTCACTACGTCAATTTTTATGCATGTATTTACTCACATATTTTCATCAAACCTCAACTCCAAATGTGTAAGAGTGTTTTCTGATAATTGTTATAATAATAAATGCTTTGGAACTATTGCATCACATTGCGCAACATTACCCGTTAATCAAAGACCCGCTGCGAAGGAAAGGAAGGTATGGGGCAGGGCAGGGCAGGGCAGGGCAGGGCAGGGCAGGGCAGGGCAGGGCAGGGCAGGGCAGGGCAGGGCAGGGCAGGGCAGGGCAGGGCAGGGCAGGGCAGGGCAGGGCAGGACAGGGCAGGGCAAGGCTGGGCAGGGCAGGGCAGGGCAGGGCAGGGCAGGGCAGGGCAGGGCAGGGCAGGGCAGGGCAGGGCAGGGCTGGGCAGGGCAGGGCTGAGCAAGGCAGGATAGAGCAGGCAGTCCATATGTAACTGAATATATATCGGATTACATATGCGGCGTCGAAGGGACACGGCTGAAAGATAATAGCCTTTCTCTCAAAAGTTGCCCCGAGACCCAAGACTCACTCCTGCGGCCTCGTTGGCAATCTCTCCTCACCCCCCCCCCCTCACCCCAAACACACATACACACACACACACACACACCACACACACACACACGCACACACTCATATATATATATATATATATATATATATATATATATATATATATATATATATATATATACATATATATATATATATATATATATATATATATATATATATGTATATATATATATATATATATATATATATATATATATATATATATATATATATATATATGTATATATATATATATGTATATGTATATATCAATCTTACCTATCAAGCTGTTTATAAACATTCATACGTACGTATACACATACACATACATGCAATCACGTATGTATCACAATGTTTTTTAAACAACAAAGAAAGCTTAGAATAACATTTTAACAGCTTAAAAACAAGACATGACATTCTTTCATTTGAGAAAAAACCTTACCTCGCCTCACACATTAAAACCATTTCCTCTTCTTCAAATAGTTGTATAAAAAATATATTACAGGAACACTTCGAGGCTTTAATCTCTATTTCTTTGGTTATTCTAGGTTACAATAAACGACTTTGTTAATGCGGTTATTTATTATCTTATATATATATATATATATATATATATATATATATATATAGATAGATAGATAGATAGATAGATAGATAGATATGTGTGTGTGCATATATATATACATATATATCTATATACACATACACATGCATATGCTATACATATATATACATACACACACACACACACACACACGCACACACACACACACACACACACACACACACACACACACACACACACACACACACACACACACACACACACACACACATATATATATATATATATACTCATATTTAGATATATACATATATATATATATATATATACATATATATATATATATATATATATATATATATACATATTAGATATGTATACATATATATATACATATATATATATATATATATATATATATATATATATATATATATATATATATATATATATATGTATGTATATATATACACAAATACATATCCAGGTTTACTGGAAGCGTCATGCTTTCTTATTCCCTTCGTGTCGTGTTTTCTCATTGGCAACCGGCGCTCTAAAGTCTTTTGCAAAAACTGCTTCCCGACTCGACCTGCGTAACATTTCGAGGCTCGTAATGTCCGAAAGGAAAATGCCATATATCTCCCACGCGCCGACCTGTCTCTCATGTGGATTTCAAATCGGATAACTGCATGGTACCGTTTATCCTATATCATTATTTCTCAGTTCATTGAAAATTCGAGTGAAGCCAGATATTTTATTTATTGCGAATTACAGTCAAACGGAAGCGATTTCCGCGTTCCGGAATGAGAGGAAAAGAAAATATGATAAAAACAAGATCCGCGAGGTGGCCGAGAGAGCGGCGCGGCAAATAACACAATATCGGGATGAAATCGCCTGCCGGCCGTACGATACTAAAAGTGACATTTGGAATTAACGCCGACATTAATCATCTTAGCTCTGTTGTGTTGTTATTAAAGGTGAATGAAGGAGTCTGTTCTTTTATTGGTTAATTAATACAGCTGATTGAATGAATGAAACTAATTCTACATACAATAGAGACCAATTACCGATATCCATAATCTTTTTTTGTGACTTGCTTATTCACAAAAGTGTTTAAGAGTAATAACACCTATATGGAGCTTTCAAAACAAATCTTATCTGCTATAATGATACGCCAAATAAGATAATCTGCCTCGTGAAAAATGGAAAATTAAAAATACTACTTGGACTCTCTCCCTCCCTCCGCGCCGAGTGACCAACCCACGTCCCGCAGCGAACCAACACTACCCTATTACACCACATATTCCTCTCTCCTCCCGACACTCACCAGTCAGACTCCTGTCAAGCAAGGCTGGCTACGAGTCTGCAGAACGGTTGATAATGTATTACGACTCCGAAGACGAGTAGATTGTAGTTAAGAGTGCGCATTCTAATCCTAAGGAAGTGCAGTTCGAGAGCGGAGGTGTTCACATATTAGAGAGTGATATCTGAGAACTAGACTGACTGCTGATCTCTGTTTTGAACCATGGAGAGACGGACCCGCTTGTAGCTCCCACTAAGATAAGCTAGCGCCGAGCACGTGGTGTCCCAATACCTAAGTTATGTACAGGAAAGTACGCAGAAAATCAAGAGGAGACTGCTTGCCTCAGTGGAACATTTTCAGCAGGTGAGTGGAGTCGATTCCTCTCTAACGATGGTTTTGTGTGCCTCAGCTGCGACTGCATCTGCTACACAAATCATGAAAGGGGAGGGAGAGGGGCGGGGTGTCCTAGTGGGAAGGGCCGGGTATCTGTGTGGGAAACTTAAAAAACACGAAATGTTTCTTCGTCAAAACGTTTTCTCCGGTATATTAAGTCAGGAGCGAGGGGGAAAAGTAAACGTTTCATAAGGGCAGAGAACATACAGGATAAGTCCGAGGGGTAAAGAGGGTGAAAGTTGCAGCCAAAGGTTAACCCTCAGTGTTAGTACATCGGCGACGGCGTGAGAAAGTGAGACACGACCGCTGGGATGGGACACGCTGGGGGGGGGGGGGGGGGGTAAGGGCAGTGTCCTCTCCCGAGATGTGAGAGGATCACACTAGTGGGCTGACCTCTGACCTCGCCGCGAAAGGGGATATAGGCTGCACCGTTCGCGGGGGTCGTGAACTTTGTCGTAAGGTGTTGGAACAGTTTATGGCTGAAGAAATCCTTTGTGGGGGTCTTTTGCAATTCAACAGGTAGGAGTCTTTCATATTATTCAAGCATATTCTCTCTCTCTCTCTCTCTCTCTCTCTCTCTCTCTCTCTCTCTCTCTCTCTCTCTCTCTCTCTCTCTCTCTCTCTCTCTCTCTCTCTCTCTCTCTCCATCTCCGCCTCTAATTGTCTCAACCTCCCCTTTCTCATGTTTACACACATAAACCCTCTCCTCCCCCTTTCCCCTCTCCGTACCACCCCCCCCTTCCTTCCCTCTCTGTCTCCTTCCCTCACTGTCTCGCCCTCTGGTATCTTTCCAACCCTCACTTTCTTGCCCACAGCTTTCTTTTCTTCCCTCACCTTTCCATCCCTCACTTTCTTGCCCTCAGTTTCTTCCTTCACTTTCTTGCCCAAATCTTTCCTTCCATCCTTCACTTTCTTTTCACCATTTTTCCTTCCTTCCTTTAACTTTTTCCCTTCCCTCACTTTCTTGCCCTAATCTTTCCTTCCTTCCCTCACTTCCTAGCCCTCTTCTATCTTTTCTTGCCCTAATCTTTCCTTCCATCCCTCACTTTCTTTCCCCCATCTTTCCTTCCTTCAATTTCTTCCCTTCCCTCACTGTCTTGCCCTAATCTTTCTTTCCTTCCCTCACTTTCTAGCCCTATTCTATCTTTTCTTGCCCTAATCTTCCCTTTCATCCCTCACTTTCTTTCTCCCATCTTTCCTTCCTTCAATTTCTTCCCTTCCCTCACTGTCTTGCCCTAATCTTTCTTTCCATCCCTCACTTTCTAGCCCTCATCTTTCCCCCTCATCTTTCCCCTTCTGTCTTTCCTTCCCTCACTCTATTTGATGAGGTTGGCATCTTTTGTAATATCTTGGGAGTACATCCCACTTGCTGCCGCCAATATAATCATGTGTGAAGGTCGGTGTTCCTCTTTCATGGTACTGCTGGTTTGGTTCTTGATGTGTTGAGTTAAGTACTAATTGGTAGACTGAGGAATACAGAGGGATACAGAGGAATGAGGGAAAAGTTAGGCAAACCCCTGGAGTTGAGTGAGGCGCACGCAGAGTGAGCGGGAGACAGATGCTAGCTGAGGGGAGATCTCGTTTTCTATGAGGGGAGCAAGACAGGTGTTCGCGAGAGCGAGAGGAAATTAGACACTACACTTCACAGGGGAGTTCCTAAACAAATTAGAACAGCGAGGATAAAGGAACTCACCTTGAGGTACTGGCAGGACGGTGTTGATTAATGCTGTAGGCGTCAAGCGACCGCAGTAAGTGTTGAAGACTGCGACAGGTGTTGAAGTACAGTGCGCTGACGGAGGAGCGATGTCAGCTTCGCAGAGAACACTGGCTTCATGCTTGATGTCGGAAGTCCGACATGTAGATGTATCGTGAGATGAAGTCTTGGAGTGCCAGAAGTCGACGAAGGTGTCATCGCTTGCAGGAGTCGATATATTGTCGTCGAAGGGCTTCGCGTGGTGCTTTATCCCAGTGCGTTGCCACCCATGTAATAATGAGGGGAAAGGACGTGTAACCACTCTGATGGTACTGCTGGTTTGGTTCTTGATGTGTTGAGTTAAAGTCGCCGCAGATTTATACTTTGTT